GAAAAGCGATATTGGAGGAAAGGAATGTCCTTTTTAAGCTATTTTATAGACCTGTTCCCCACACAAACAACGACTCATTACGTATGCTTTCTCCGAAGAAGCCAACATCATCAATGTAGTCTCTTCAGGCTCTCCACTAAACTTCTGATCTCATCTGCCCCCTTCGATAAACCATCGGTCTTCTTCCCGACTCCATCGACAACCCTTTCAGCATCCATGTCTGTCAATTCCAAGAATCTTTCGACAAAATCACCATCAACGAATCTAAAAGGTTCCTCGGAGCTACGGTTAGGCGACCAGTAAGCTCGAAATTTGTTGAAATCCAGATCGCCAACACCGCTGATAACTTTTGCCATGTTTGATTGCAGCTGCATTAATAGATCCAAGTACTCTGAATCGATCTCTCCTAGGAGGTATATCGACCCATCGACCTATACAAAAGACATTATAAGCTACAATGTAACAGTAAATGAAGCGACTGAATGGGTTACCGTTGCACAATATGCCTTTGGCTGAACTACACTTCCAGGCAATACATTTTCTTCCACTACCAGTAAAGAAGGGTTAATAATACTCTGGTGATTAGGAAAGTAAATTTCGTTAACGGCTCACCTTTCCTAATCCTGTTTACCATCTCTCCAATCCTAATGTCTCCAACTAGCTGAAGCCGTTTTTGATCCTCATCTGTCACCCCATTGATATCTCTTCTCCAAATAGACATATTTCCCTCTGCGTCCCCACAAATGATTGTCTCTTTGTCCCATAACTCGATTGCCGTTGTCCACAGTGTCTGATAATTCCGTGCAACTTCATCAAGTTTGTAATCTGTGCCGTTCTGACTCGAATATTCTAGGAGTGAGGGGCCTTTCATAAGATCTCCAACAGCTATCATATTATCGCGAACCCCTAAATCAATAGGCTCGCTGTGTGTACGGTAGCTGGCAATCTTTATGATTTTAGGCTTTAAGCTGAGTGGGGACTCCCAGGAATACATTTCAACCTATATTAATATAATTAGCATTTGATTCGAAAGTTTTAAATTACCAAGCGGCGTACCGTTCTATTCAAGGCCGCAACAATCTTGCCATTCACCAGGTCAAGTCCTTTGCAAGAGCCTCGAACAACCAATTCAGCTGCTAGTTTGAGTTTCCTATCGTCGCTCAGTTCAAAAACGAGGATTCTTCCCCGAGTAGTCTCATCTTTGGATTCTTCTTGAAATCCAGTACCCACGATAAATCTTTCCGAAAAGGTTTCATCGCCATTGGAGAGATTAGCACACATAATACTCTCTATCAGCTCTGCCTCCTGAAGTTCGTAGGAATCTATCATGGTAAACGTGATACCATCGACAACTCTGACATAACATTTAAATTGCTCGTCACCGGTAGTCAAATCTTGATATAAATTGATCGTGAGAACCCCAAATACGTCTCGAGTCTTCAAGTGCGCCACGCGTCGGACGACATCGCCAGTTGGAAGATTTCTTACGTGCGTGGACCGTGTAAAATCGAGAACAGCAAGTTTAAGGTCCTCTTCAGTGGCCACAGCAACAGAGTTAGGGAACCCATGAGCATTGAAAGGAGTCACATGAGTTGTTCTGTCTGCTGTAACTGCTGAGTATGCAATCCTTCCCTCCAGCCCATAAATGAGACTTGGGTGATCACAGGTTGCAAAGACATTCACAAGTCCATTCCCAAGGGGTATTGGTTGGAAATAAACTGATTGCGTGCCCAAAACTATGCTTTTTTTCTGTGAAAGCAAGTAGCTTTCTTCATGTACTGAAAAAGTAAATAAGGTTCCGTCACCCATTGCCACCAACAACGTCGGTGGCTGGTCTTGAAGAATCCTCGCAAGTAACAGTGATCTCGGAATAGCAGCATTCTCTGTTCTTACTAAAATCTCTTCAGAGAGTGTCTCCAAGCCTGGAAGGGTGAGGATCGAGACAGCTGATGTTGTCCATTGCCCAACAGCACATATTGTAGAGGATGCTACAGGAATAGTGAGACATGATATTTCATTAGAGAATGAGCGTGTGCCAATCTCTTTGAGATCGGCCTTGAGATCGACGGCAAAGAGCGTCGAACCGTTGATAACGTAAATTAAAGTATCCTCGTTTGCGCTTGCCATGGTAATTATGCCTTTGCCGCGCAAGTCCAGCTGGGATACAATTTCTCCAGATTCCGTATCGATTAATCGTACACCGGAAGGGGTAACCTGGAGCAGCTTGCCATCAATGACATTTCCAGCAATAAGAGTTCTCTCGTCGAGGGAAAACGCCCCAAAGCGTTCCAGCTCTTCCGGGTCATCATCCTGATGAAACTGGAATACTCTAGTTTCATCAATGAATGATACTACTAGGATATCATCAAATCTGAAGATGTGTTAACTGTGCTCAATCAAATAGAATTCTTGACATACTGATTTCCTGGAGTAGATTTTAGCCCCCATAATCCCCTAATGCCCACCATGTCTCCAAGAATACCAAGATCCTCCATTCCAACCCCGCTCTTGACACTCCGTAATGACCCTTGTTTGAAACCACCACTACATGATACAATTCTCATGTGTCCAGATGAATATTGCTGTTGGTTTTCAGAACCCGAATAATTCATATCTACGACCCTGAAATCTGTGACAGGTGCTAAGTTGGTGAAAGTCTCGATGACCTGCACCTTCGGTTCCTCGGAAGATAATCGAACAAGTTGAGAATCACCGCTGTGGGATCCCACATACAAGTGGCCATTATCTAGGTATACTAATCGGCTTGGTACCGAAGTCTGTCTCGATCAGCGGCGAAAGCGAAATATTCTCAAGAAAGCTGCTTTACCTGCCCAATCTCTTCCACCTTTATACCATGTACCCTACCACGCAGGAGCTCTATAAAAAGTATGTGCAGTTTCCCATCCTCATCTCCAAGTAAATATCTTTGGGTATCAATTATTCCCCAAGTTACAAATGAACGAACTTGATGCAAAAGATGTTTCGTGGGGGGTTCGTTTTCAGAATTGAAGTAACAGAACATCTGTGTCCCAAGTACTAGTAGTCCACCAACTGGTCCTGGTACTGGAATCAACATCGTGGGTTCGGCGTCCAGAGATGTTGCTTTCATACGCCATTCTTTAAATTCTGTCCCGTTATGGGTGACTTCGTAAGTTTTCATATGTACTTCTCCTGGATGGGCAGAATTGTATAGTATTGCTAACACGGGATTTGCTGTATCATGAAGAAAAGCCATATCGACAACATCCAATTCTGAAAATCTAATTGGAGTTGCCGTCTCAAAATTCTTAGACGATTCAACCACATTGGATTTGGCTTGTTTTTTATTCAATTTTTTTGGTGATTGTACTAATGGTATGGAAAGGAATGTTCCTTGATAGACGTGTAGCCCCAAAAGCCTTCCCGCGGGATCTGCTAAGTATAGAGGCCCACATCGGGCATTTCGGAGGAACTTATCCGAAACGTCGCAGGCAACTTGCTCATTTCTGACCCGTTTTTGAACAGGATCCCAAGAGACCGTGAGGTAGTTGCTGTTATCTGAAGCTACAAACAGATGATCTGTGGGAGAATCCACTGGGCGCAATGTAAGGAGTGCGGTTATTCGCCCATAGACTTGGAACTGCGACTTGAGGGAAAGTCCGTCCCCTTCGAAGGAATATATTTCTATGCGTGAGGACTTTCTACTCGAAGATTAATATGATTCCTGGTCTGATTTTAAGAGCGGAGGCTTGAAGGATTCCATACGCAACAATCAAGGACTGCTCCTCCGAGGATATGAAGTTTGATTTGACCGCATGTCTTACGCTGCTGGCCTTGTGGATGGATGCCAGATATGCCATTGTGAAAGTGCTAAATTGGTCAAGGGAATTGGGAGAGAAACCCAGAAATTCAGTCAAATAAAGGCTCTAGGGATGTTAATGGATGAATGGTGGGGTAGAAGCAAGTCTAACAATGAGAGTATCGCCATGACGACGGTGATGTACTTGTGTCCACTGAACACTGCAGGCTACATGGCAATTTCCGGGTCTCGCTTGTCTACAAATGCATCTAAACTCCGTTACATCCGTCCACACCGTTGGCGATCATGAGTTCTTGGCTCTGCGCTGCTACAAGCATTTACAAGTCGATCTTCCAGGATCTGCTGCGATTTCACACCAAAGAAGCAACGGAATCGCTTCTAGCGGCGCAGAGCCAAGAACTCAAAATTTGACCTAGAAATTTGGAAAAGTGCTGTTGCCAAAACGCTCTATTAAGATCTCTAGCGTACGAGATAAAACTCAAGACTCCAATGAACATTGATAGATCCCAGTAGAGAACAGGTAGGTCTTCCCCACTGCCAAGAACTCAGAATTTGAGCTCGAAATTTGAAACTGAGCGTGGCCAACACGATCTATTTTGAATTCTGCAAACGAAGCTGTTCATAGTAGAGCTGAAGTACATGTATATACTAGTATAATTCCAAGCTGGGAACGTCACAAAATAAGGCTAAAGCGAAGTCACTTGAGCCGCTGATCCTCTATTAAAAGTAGGTACATACCACTAGGGGTGTGCCAACTCGCGACCGCGAGTTGTACTTTGGATTATGGGTATTAAATAAAATTTAATTCTCCCACTACAATCATGAGGGGCCTTCGGCCCCATCGTCCTCTCGTGAGTGCTCAGTACTTTGATGTGTCGTGCTTACGAAACACCCCTGTCACTATCGACCAATCAGACTGCAAGGACTTTAGAAAAACCATAATCCAGTACATAGTAGACTCGCCGTTAAAACCATATGTACCAACGGTAAGGACCTTGATTATTGTTTATTTTGCCGATCACAGTTCGAAAGCGGCGGTGAAGATGATCACTAGGATAAGTACATATGGCTGGCTGGGTTCAATTTAATGAGAGTAAGTACTCTATTAATTGTACCGTGTTTCCTAAATTACACTACAATAAACTATAGTAATAGCTTCCAAATTACTTATGTATGTATATACTGCGGCTTGATTTCTTGTTTAAGTGGATTCTTCTCCTTCTCTCCCCCCCAACCACCTGTAAACAACGGAAAAATCTTTACCTCTACAATGATCGTCATTCTCAACACTTTCGTAAACCATTCTCGCTTTCACTCCTAGTTCAAGCCTAGCCCCGACTTCCTCGGCAGCCTTGATGGCAAGCTTTAGATCTTTTTTCATTAAGGAGACTCCGAATCCTCCTTGGAATCCCCGAATCGCTGTATCGACAGGATTATTAACCTCACTGCTCCAGCATCTTCCTGAAGAGACATTAATCAAATCTTTCAAAATCTTTTTATCCAGACCTAAGCTGATACCGAGGTTCATGGCCTCAGAGGTAGCTATGTTGCTGATTGCAAGGAGGTAGTTGTTAGACAATTTCCCCGCCAATCCCGAGCCAGGCGGGCCACAGTGCAGAATGCGACTTCCCATAAGTGATAGTAACGGGGTTACAATTGGGAAAGTTGAAGCATGTGATCCGACCATGAACGTCAGTGTACCAGCCTGAGCGCCCACGACTCCTCCAGAAACAGGGGCATCAACAAAATCGGCGCAGAAGGAGGAAGAATCGCGAACAGCCTTCCCGACCTTAAGAGAAGTCGCAATGTCAATTGTTGAACAGTCAACGAAAAGCTTCGTTCTATTAGATCTACCAGCCAAGTCCGAAGATAGAATTGTATCGAAAACGGACTTGACATGCTGAGGCTCAGGTAACATCGTAATAATCGTGTCCTGTGATAGATATGGTGTTAGTGGTATGAAAGGTAACTATTGCGTTGTAATTTGAGTGAAGAGTTATCTCGGTAGATATTCAGAGGATTGGCTTTGATGTATAATAAATAAATCATGAACAGAGACTCCAGAACGAAGTCCCCGACTTAGAAATGTCATTGATGGAACATACTCATCACACGAGACAAATGAGTGGGGTAGGAAGTGGTAGAAAATAAACGGGAAAGTAATGATTAGGACTTACGCTATTATCAACGACCTCTTTTATATCGTTGGCCACAGTAAGACCACCTTTAGAAGCAAGGCCTGGTTCCTGGCAGAACCTTTGCGTCGAACTTCGGTTGACATCGAAAATCACCAGGGTGTCTTCAGCGGGTATCTTAGCTCGGAGGTTTTCCGCCATTGGGTACCCCATTTGACCTAAACCAATAAAACCCCATGATGCTTGTCGATTGATTGAAGTTGAGAAGGAGCGGCGGAGAAAACGAGAAAGTTTATAAGGAAAAGAGGGAGGGAGAGGAAATTTCATGTTGGCCAAGGGTCGGGGTGATAGCCTTACTGCTGCTGCACAGTGAAAGCGTAGGGTAGGGCATTGTGACTTCGATTGAGAGTGCGATTCAGTAGGATTTATATCCAAACAAGTTCTGCGGGGTACTTGGGCCGCTAATAAGAGTAACACGGGGAGTAATGATAATTTAGGGTTATTATTCGTCAGTAGGAGAATTACACAGAGAAAGTTCTCCGGTGGACCGAGACTTGGCAGTGAAAGAGAGTTATTATTCCATGCTAGTCCACATTTCAATTGCCGCGAATGGCCGCAGCATGAGCCATCACTCGCCTTACGATATGGATAATCGAACAGATGGTTATTGGTCCGGGATGGTATGAAGGTTTACGCGTATCGGGAGATAACGAGGGTCACACTCAGGGTTCAATAGATGACCAAGAGTAGAGAACAAAAGGATACTAATAAACTAGGTGGTTCATCCACGAGTTGCAAATACCTTCAATCGATCATGAGGCGAGCTTTAATGGGCCACCTCCTTCCACTTATATACCTCTGGGCTTCAATTGGGGGCCTTCAGCCCTCCCCCCCCCCCTCCTTCTCCTCCACCTCTGTCGAGCTCCCGCCTCCCTTGGCTATATAATTATAATTTCGATTTGATTCAAGAGCGGGTGGGCTGGTTGCCATGCGGGTTAGGGTTCCTCGCTCTCGACAAATAAACTGGTTTTATATTACATATTAGACTAGGGGGTTTACCAGCTCGCGACCGCGAGTTGTGGGGCACCGTTTTGGGGCTTTGGCACTTTGGGACTTCGAGGAACTTGGGCCTTCGGGCTTAGAGAGAGAAAATAATGTCATTGATTTTAGTTACAACTTTTGTCAAAAAAACAGGTAGTTACAAAATAAAAATAAAAAAAGATAGAACATAATAGAAAATATATATAAAACCACATAAGAAATAATTTAGGAAAATAAATAGGAAAATACATGGACAATAAAATAGGAAAATAAAGCCAATTTTTAGTTAGGAAAAATAAAACACAATTTTGATAGAGATATATAGGAGAGAGCTAACAATTTGATAGTAATAGAGAAACGTTAGGAATGCAGTCTTGATAAAAATATATAGAAATTCACAGTAAGACTTCAGGATATACCACATTGTCCGTCTGCCACCTGCAACCCTCCTTCAACAATACCTTCAATCCGGTAAAATTTGTCACTCTTGATAACACCACATACAACTGACTATATGTGAGTGATGGTAACCATAAATCCACGCCTACAATATTCAGCAATTTACCTTGCGCTTTGTTGACCGTAATAGCGAAATATAACTGAATGGGAAACTTCTAGTGAGTCAACATGAAGGATAAATCACCCCACTTGTCGAAAGTTTGATCCATGAAATGACTTTAAGTTGACGTCGAAATCACCACCAAGTATTCTGGCCTCAATGCATCGGCTTTGGAATTTTGTGATCATCATCCGAGTACGATTACAGTGTTATTTATATATATAATTATTTATTACTCATACATCGCATGTACTCGAACCTGAGTATGGTGGTTAACAATATGAAATAAAACCAAAACAATACAACCTCAATGTAAAATTCTCGAATCACAAAACATGAGACCATTTTCTCCCACAGAGTCGCTACCAACTAGACCCTCCGTTTAGGCCATCAGACAGTATAATCCTTTTCATTCAAGACTCCCTACCTCCGCTACATATTCACTAAACCTCACCGAATAGTATCCGAATTGTAATAGAGCCATATCAACTGTCTGCTGTATGAGTATACACAGGACCCGGTTACAACCTGAGAGTTATTATTAAAAGCCAGTTGCACAGTGACATGTAAATACTGGCAGTGTGGTTAGCTACCAGCTGTTAGAGTAACTTGCCAACTATTAAGTCAGCCTGGAACACTTCCCAGACAGCGGTCAAGGAATGGAAGATTTGAAGATTGAGATTCAAGGACTCAATGAAGGAATTATATTGGCTACTGCTCCCCGCTACATGACTCACTCGGAGAAGCGTATTGGAAAAACAAACAGTTGGATTATGATCGCAGTTAGCAAGAAGGATATGTATAATGCAGTACTAGCTAAGGGAATTAAGATTTTCAGACAGATTCACGAAGCTGTGGAATACTACACAGCCAGACCCACGGATCAATGCAAAAACTGTCAGAAATTCGGTCACAATTGGCAGAGAGATGCTCAATTAAGGACTTAGCCACCTATGCTATCTGTTTGTCTGGACATACCACTCAAAATCACTATTGCACAACATGCAGGGCAAGAAGCAAAAGCTGCCCCTACTTACCACCGAAATGCGCAAATTGCGGAGGGGAACACCCGGTATACGACCCAGAATGTTAGGTATGCATCTCAATTCTTCAACGATACAACAATGAAGGCAATGAACAAGAGATGCTATGATGGATAGATATAACGGGGACTATGGGCGTAGGAACTATGAAGCCAAGGAATACAACCGAGGCGAAGACGTGGACGTAGGAGGTTCGTGGACTATGGACTATGGAGCCGAAGGGTACACCTAAGGCAAGAACGGGAACTGTGGACTATGGACTATGGATGGTTGTACCTGGTCTAGTATACCGGGTAAACCCTATGACGTAGCGCGAACCAAATAGTATTCGTGACTGTAAAGTACAGAGGTTGCATAAAGAGAAAAGGAAAAGAAAGAGAAACAAGAAATCACGAGACAACGCCCCCCTTATATATCCATACCCTATCCCAATGCTGACTCATACTCTCGCGTAACAGAAACAGAAAGAACATAATAGAAACCCACTTCGCTAAATCCAACCACACTGCATAACCCTTCCTCTTGGTACCCTAACACCTCGCATGACCAAACCACATGGCTGCCGTTACAGACCACTCCCCCCTCTACGGCCTACCTCCTGGTAGGCTTAGGCTTCCGTGGATATCGTTTGTGAAATCGTTTGACAATATCGGGCGAATGTTCGACATCCGACAATGGCTGCCACGAAGCTTCGTCATAATCGGCATACTTAACCAAGTATTCAAATCTTCCCCGACGATCCCTGGAATCCAAAATATCCTCGACTTCCCACTCCTCCTGTCCTTCAACTTCGACCGGCGGTGGTGGTAACTGTTGTTGTCCTGGTAAAGGATCGTTTGCTGCAGACGACAATAAAGAGACATGGAATACGGGATGAACTTTCATGGAACGAGGAAGTTCCAACTCATAGGCATAAGGACTAACGATCCGCTTCACGATGTATGGTCCAATACGTTTCCAGTCAAGTTTCTTCGATGGTCGTTTGGTGAGGACATGGCGTGTTGATAAGAAAACTCGATCTCCTACTCGATAGTGAGGTGCTGGAGTTCGACGTATATTGGCGGACTCTTCTTGAATCCTTTGCGCTCGAAATAATTCATCCTTTAGAAAATCCAATATATCCTTCATCTCCCTTGCAATACTATTGGCCTGATCCTCCGCTGTCGTCCTACCATGTTCCAAAGGACCAAAAGTCATTCTTGGATTCCTCCCTGAGTTGGCGTAAAATGGAGAGATTCTCGTCGTTTCAGAAGCATGGTTATTTGTTGCAAACTCGGCCATTGGCAACCATCGAACCCAGTCGTCCTGTTGATAAGAAACATAACTTCGAAGGTATTGTTCCATCACAGCATTGATTCTTTCCGTTTGTCCATCCGTCTGGGGGTGAAACGCTGTAGAGAATTTTGGCGATATTTCCAAACGATCGCAAAGGGACCTCCAGAATTCCGCAACAAATTGTGTTCCTCGATCAGATACCATAGTTTCAGGGAGTCCATGTAATTTCCAAACATTATCGATATATAACCTCGCTACTTCTTTTGAATCCGCCTCTTTAGTTGTGGGTATGAAATGTCGCATTTTAGTTAGTCTATCCACCACAACTAGAATTGCATTGTACCCATCACTCTCCGGAAGGTCTGTAACAAAATCCATCGATACATCCATCCATGGTCCATCAGGTATTGGCATAGGTCGGAGTACTCCGTAGGGCGCATTGCGTGATGCCTTGCTACGGGCACACACATTGCAATTCCTAACATACTGATCGACATAATTTCGCATTCGTGGCCAGTAGTATTCTCGATTCAGGAGTTCCAAAGTCTTTGCTCTGCCTGGATGACCTGCCGATGGGTTATCATGGTATTCTTTTAGAAGTTTTATTCGAAGGTCATTGTCGTCCGGTACGTAGAGTGCGCCACGATAAAGTAGCCGACCATTGTTGTCCTCCGTACATTCAGCAAGTGAAATTTTATTCGAATGGCGAACGCCATTCCGAAGCATCGCAAGGATTTTGTTCGGGAAACTGTCAACTTGATAAGCATTTGAAAACAACTCTTCTACAGTGGACATTCCTTCAGCGGATTCATTTGAAAAAGAACCCGCGAACAAACTTAGCTTTGAATCCAAATTTTTTCGCTTCAAAACCACCTGGCTTTGATGCGTCAACCGTTCATCCCCCTCCTCAGGTAGGTCACCCGACTTCCTAGTCAATGCATCCGGCTTTGCTCCTTGTTTCCCTGGTCTAAATTGAATGACAAAATCGAAACGTGAAAGAAATTCCGACCAACGGGCTTGTCGACGGTTTAATAACTTTGTTGACATGAAATATTCGAGGTTCCGATGGTCGCTAAGAACTTCAATTGGGAATTGTGCCCCCTCTAAATAATGTCGCCATTCCTCAAAACATCGTACGATTGCCAGGAGTTCTTTATCATAGATCTCATAGTTACATTCCGCAGGGGAATGTTTCTTAGAGAAGAAAGCGACTGGATGTAGAATTCCTTCGTCGTCACGTTGGGACAGAATTCCAGCAGAAACATAGTCGGATGCATCGGTTTCTACCACGATTTTCCGATCCGGATCAAAGTGCATTAGTATGGGTGCCGTTGTGAACATCCTTTTCAATGTCTGGAATGCTTCCTCCCTTTCATCCGTCCATTCAAATTTAACATTTTTCTTGGTCA